TTATTGGTTTTATAATATACGAAAACTCGGCTTTGGTAATAATAATAAACCGACCCGTTGGGAATTAGCGGAAACTTCGTTTCCGCTTATTCACATACGGTCAGGGTATTAGTAATAATAAAATAAAACACTAAAGATTGTCGTAAATACGTACAACTAACTAGTGACTAAAGACGTCAAGTCAAGAGTTATTCAAGAATTATGACGAATTTTAATTTTTATAAGAATAAAAAGTTAATTATGTATTTATATGTATCGAAATTCCAAGAAAACTATGCCAAGAAAAAAAAAAAAAACCTTAATTTTTTTTTTTATTAAGAAAAAACAGATACGTATTAATATTTAAAATTAAAATTACACAAAAAGGACTCAAATATGTTAAATATCGCAAAACCGCTCAGATCTGAGTCAAAAGTATGTATCATGCAATAATCGCATGAGAATCTAATCAAAGAAATTGATAAACTAACGTTAAACTAACGTTAAACTAACGTTAAACTAACGTTAAACTAACGCTAAACTCAAGAGGGATTATCGATGCAGTAAATTAATTTGTTAATTTAGATAAGGTCGAAAATGAATCCATCTAATATGTACAGTATTACAGTACGTATGAGCGGAGCGGAATGACTATATTCAATTGATCATTATACTGTTATACACATCATAAGTACATAATAATATACACATCATAAGTACATAATAATATACACATAATATACATAAAGTTACATAATCAAACCTTGTTCTTTTTTTCACCCACACCACTTTACCAAATTTAAGATCATTGATTGTTACGTATCTGGATCGTTAAATTGTTTCACAAATAAATTAATTCTTTCCGCTGTATAAACCAGATTTCCGTATCGAAAGTTTTATTCCAAATTAAAAAGCTTAAAAAGCTTTGGTGAGAACTCAAAAATAAAAAAGTCAAGCAGGCTTACAATTATTCAAGCTTAAAAGTTTTGATAAGGTTTTTTTTTAAATCTATTCTTTATCTATTCTTGATTAGGAGTAGTTTCGTTTTCTCGTGTAATATAAGAAATTCTTTCTTTAAATAAATAAAGATAAATAGAACAATGGCGAAAAAATCTTAAAAATTTCATATCAAAAAATTCCGTTTCATACCGATATTTAAACACACATTTTGACTTGGGTCAAAATGTAACGTTGCAGAAATTTGATTTTTATGGGGTTATATTCTTAAGAATATTCATAACGATAATAGAATGACTAAAATTGACCAAGTCTTATAATGTTACATCATCTTGATTCATTTCGATACGTACAGTAGATATCAGTTTCTGAAACGATAACTATTAATTTTCTACGTATTAATACGTTAATACATACAATGTTGTTTAAGTACAATGTAGTTTGAAAGCTCTATTGTACATAAAAAAATCTGGATTATGATTGGGTAGTGAATAAATAGCATAAACATAGCATAAACCATTGTAATAATCATAATTTCTCCGCAAATATCAGATCAACAAATCAAATCGCAAATTTTGATCAGTTAAAAATTATTCAAAGTTTATCAGTAAGATACTAGAAACTAGAAAAGATGAAAATGGCATAAAGAAATTTTCTATAACCTCAACCTTATCAGTTATAGCATGACCTTATAGCACGACCTATAGCACAACCTTAGAGGTTTCCATCACGTGTACGTACGAATTTAGATAAAGTTAATGAAATACCGGACATTTTGTAAAGCCGGGTATCAATTGATTAGTTTACTACCGTTACTTATATATTTACATGTACATATATATACATATGGCTTTAGCGCATCACCTACATACGGCAATAATAAATAATTGGAAAATCATTTATTTCTATTTATGATTTTTTTTTTTCGATTACGCAATTATTGAAATTCTGCAATGATTGGGGCAATGATTAGGCAATGATTGGGTACGCAAATAATGTTTGGAAATTTTACGCAAAAAAATCAAAATTTAAAAAATTTTATTAATGAAATTATCTTCTGCGTACTAAAAAAAAAAGGGATTTTATAAGATTTTGATATAACTATATCCTAATCCAATACCCATCTAATTCTTCTAGATTAATACTCATCTAACACCCCTAGATTAAATAATTAAATAATTAAACAATTAAATAATTAAATAATTAAATAATTAAATAGCGAAAGTTTATCCCCAATGTCCCTAAGATGTAACTAATTTCAGTAACGCCTAGGGTCTTGTATTTGTTTCTTGTATTTATTTTAGATAAACCTTTTTTGAATTTGATACATACCGGTACATTCGTAGATTATCTACTAACCATTATATTAGATTAATAACTTTGTTTCTCTATTGTTTTTTTTTTTTTTTATCGAACCATTCTGCGCAGCCAATGTTCCAATGGAATTGTTATCTCCAAAAAACGTGTATTTTTCCCTCATAACTGGATTTAGACACAACTGGTGAAATGAAATACCTTATTGAATTTATTAATTCACTTATGCATATGCATATGCACGTGCGTTTCTGTCAATTAACGCCAATTAACCAATATGGTAGACTCGGGTAACTGGCTATTAAATTATATTTGAAACAATAGCAATAGATGTTATGTGTACCATAATTGGTTGAAAAACATAGGTTGTATTGATATCTTGATCTAATCTTAATCTAATCATAAACATTATTTTATTATTACGCATTACTATTTTATCATCGTTATTATTATTATTACGTTTACTATTTTATCATTATCATTATCATCATTATTTTTATTATTAAAAATTTATACGTACAAAGTGTATTGATTTCTCTTGCCATCAGCTATTCTTGGTCTGTGACCTGAGATCTTCAAGTATTAAAAATTGTTTATTTGCATGGCATTCCAACCAAGGTCAAGTTATTGCGGTTATTCTTATTGGATATGGCGTCTTTTACCGTTTTATTATTTTGTCGTATATTTATGTAAATTCGTACCTCCTATTTAGCATAATCTTGCATTAGCTGTACTTGATCAACGCAAGACAATCAATTTCAAATTTTTTATTTTCATACGGATTATTTTTTTTTTTTTTGAAAGGTGTAGTTTTGTCCGAGGTCGTACGCACGTACCTACATTGTTCATTATAACGGACAATAGAGTTTAAAGATGATTACACCTTTTTTGGATCAATCGTATTAATAGACTTAAAATACCTTTAGACTATATCTTTAATGATTTAGATGTGATATGTATAATTAGTATCATTTTGATAATTTGATTGTTGTATTTGATTCGTTTTTTTTTTTATTTTTTTTTTTTATTCGTTTTTATTTATTTTTCATATCAGTTTAGTTTATTCATATCAGTTTAGTTTATTCATATCAGTTTAGTTTATTCATATCAGTTTAGTTTATTTTATATTAGATTATTTATATTATACGATTTTATGAATTATATTGATTATATGATTTTTTTATATATAATACCCACTGATGAAAAAAAAAATCGTTGCTCTTTTTGAGACAAATCTCCCTTCGAAATTATATATATATACACATATACAAATAGATCTCCACATATAAACTCTTCAAGATCTTGCATCATTAATTAGAACAAAAGAGGAGGAGAAAAAAGAATGACCACTTACCAATCGATCGAAGAAGGAATACCTCGTAATCATCCTAGTGGTTCTGGAAGTGATGACGATAAAATTGGTTTGCTAAGTAATGTTAAACGTCGTAGACAATTTTTAAATTTTTTAAAAATTGCTATTGGAGTGATTTGCTTTGGTACTATTTTATGGTGCTCTTTCATTTGGTTCCAAGTATCTGATGGTACGTTCTTACATACACATAATACAACATAATATATATATATAATTTCGAAGGGAGATTTGTCTCAAAAAGAGCAACGATTTTTTTTTTCATCAGTGGGTATTATATATAAAAAAATCATATAATCAATATAATTCATAAAATCGTATAATATAAATAATCTAATATAAAATAAACTAAACTGATATGAATAAACTAAACTGATATGAATAAACTAAACTGATATGAATAAACTAAACTGATATGAAAAATAAATAAAAACGAATAAAAAAAAAAAATAAAAAAAAAAACGAATCAAATACAACAATCAAATTATCAAAATGATACTAATTATACATATCACATCTAAATCATTAAAGATATAGTCTAAAGGTATTTTAAGTCTATTAATACGATTGATCCAAAAAAGGTGTAATCATCTTTAAACTCTATTGTCCGTTATAATGAACAATGTAGGTACGTGCGTACGACCTCGGACAAAACTACACCTTTCAAAAAAAAAAAAAATAATCCGTATGAAAATAAAAAATTTGAAATTGATTGTCTTGCGTTGATCAAGTACAGCTAATGCAAGATTATGCTAAATAGGAGGTACGAATTTACATAAATATACGACAAAATAATAAAACGGTAAAAGACGCCATATCCAATAAGAATAACCGCAATAACTTGACCTTGGTTGGAATGCCATGCAAATAAACAATTTTTAATACTTGAAGATCTCAGGTCACAGACCAAGAATAGCTGATGGCAAGAGAAATCAATACACTTTGTACGTATAAATTTTTAATAATAAAAATAATGATGATAATGATAATGATAAAATAGTAAACGTAATAATAATAATAACGATGATAAAATAGTAATGCGTAATAATAAAATAATGTTTATGATTAGATTAAGATTAGATCAAGATATCAATACAACCTATGTTTTTCAACCAATTATGGTACACATAACATCTATTGCTATTGTTTCAAATATAATTTAATAGCCAGTTACCCGAGTCTACCATATTGGTTAATTGGCGTTAATTGACAGAAACGCACGTGCATATGCATATGCATAAGTGAATTAATAAATTCAATAAGGTATTTCATTTCACCAGTTGTGTCTAAATCCAGTTATGAGGGAAAAATACACGTTTTTTGGAGATAACAATTCCATTGGAACATTGGCTGCGCAGAATGGTTCGATAAAAAAAAAAAAAAACAATAGAGAAACAAAGTTATTAATCTAATATAATGGTTAGTAGATAATCTACGAATGTACCGGTATGTATCAAATTCAAAAAAGGTTTATCTAAAATAAATACAAGAAACAAATACAAGACCCTAGGCGTTACTGAAATTAGTTACATCTTAGGGACATTGGGGATAAACTTTCGCTATTTAATTATTTAATTATTTAATTATTTAATTGTTTAATTATTTAATTATTTAATCTAGGGGTGTTAGATGAGTATTAATCTAGAAGAATTAGATGGGTATTGGATTAGGATATAGTTATATCAAAATCTTATAAAATCCCTTTTTTTTTTAGTACGCAGAAGATAATTTCATTAATAAAATTTTTTAAATTTTGATTTTTTTGCGTAAAATTTCCAAACATTATTTGCGTACCCAATCATTGCCTAATCATTGCCCCAATCATTGCAGAATTTCAATAATTGCGTAATCGAAAAAAAAAAATCATAAATAGAAATAAATGATTTTCCAATTATTTATTATTGCCGTATGTAGGTGATGCGCTAAAGCCATATGTATATATATGTACATGTAAATATATAAGTAACGGTAGTAAACTAATCAATTGATACCCGGCTTTACAAAATGTCCGGTATTTCATTAACTTTATCTAAATTCGTACGTACACGTGATGGAAACCTCTAAGGTTGTGCTATAGGTCGTGCTATAAGGTCATGCTATAACTGATAAGGTTGAGGTTATAGAAAATTTCTTTATGCCATTTTCATCTTTTCTAGTTTCTAGTATCTTACTGATAAACTTTGAATAATTTTTAACTGATCAAAATTTGCGATTTGATTTGTTGATCTGATATTTGCGGAGAAATTATGATTATTACAATGGTTTATGCTATGTTTATGCTATTTATTCACTACCCAATCATAATCCAGATTTTTTTATGTACAATAGAGCTTTCAAACTACATTGTACTTAAACAACATTGTATGTATTAACGTATTAATACGTAGAAAATTAATAGTTATCGTTTCAGAAACTGATATCTACTGTACGTATCGAAATGAATCAAGATGATGTAACATTATAAGACTTGGTCAATTTTAGTCATTCTATTATCGTTATGAATATTCTTAAGAATATAACCCCATAAAAATCAAATTTCTGCAACGTTACATTTTGACCCAAGTCAAAATGTGTGTTTAAATATCGGTATGAAACGGAATTTTTTGATATGAAATTTTTAAGATTTTTTCGCCATTGTTCTATTTATCTTTATTTATTTAAAGAAAGAATTTCTTATATTACACGAGAAAACGAAACTACTCCTAATCAAGAATAGATAAAGAATAGATTTAAAAAAAAACCTTATCAAAACTTTTAAGCTTGAATAATTGTAAGCCTGCTTGACTTTTTTATTTTTGAGTTCTCACCAAAGCTTTTTAAGCTTTTTAATTTGGAATAAAACTTTCGATACGGAAATCTGGTTTATACAGCGGAAAGAATTAATTTATTTGTGAAACAATTTAACGATCCAGATACGTAACAATCAATGATCTTAAATTTGGTAAAGTGGTGTGGGTGAAAAAAAGAACAAGGTTTGATTATGTAACTTTATGTATATTATGTGTATATTATTATGTACTTATGATGTGTATATTATTATGTACTTATGATGTGTATAACAGTATAATGATCAATTGAATATAGTCATTCCGCTCCGCTCATACGTACTGTAATACTGTACATATTAGATGGATTCATTTTCGACCTTATCTAAATTAACAAATTAATTTACTGCATCGATAATCCCTCTTGAGTTTAGCGTTAGTTTAACGTTAGTTTAACGTTAGTTTAACGTTAGTTTAACGTTAGTTTATCAATTTCTTTGATTAGATTCTCATGCGATTATTGCATGATACATACTTTTGACTCAGATCTGAGCGGTTTTGCGATATTTAACATATTTGAGTCCTTTTTGTGTAATTTTAATTTTAAATATTAATACGTATCTGTTTTTTCTTAATAAAAAAAAAAATTAAGGTTTTTTTTTTTTTTCTTGGCATAGTTTTCTTGGAATTTCGATACATATAAATACATAATTAACTTTTTATTCTTATAAAAATTAAAATTCGTCATAATTCTTGAATAACTCTTGACTTGACGTCTTTAGTCACTAGTTAGTTGTACGTATTTACGACAATCTTTAGTGTTTTATTTTATTATTACTAATACCCTGACCGTATGTGAATAAGCGGAAACGAAGTTTCCGCTAATTCCCAACGGGTCGGTTTATTATTATTACCAAAGCCGAGTTTTCGTATATTATAAAACCAATAA